AACATTCAATATCTTTTCTGTTTTCCCCAATCATTATTATTATTATTCTAATTATTTTTTAAAAATTATCCCCTAGAATTCTGTAGGTCAGCTTCTGCCAGCCCCTACTGCATACCCTGGCACAGGGCCAGGCTGAGTTCTCAGTGGCCATGGTTACCCTAGGAAACAAAGATTCCCAAAAGCCAGAGGGATGTGCCATTATTCCCCAGGGCTGCCTGTTGTCTTAGAGGACCTTTGCTCAGTTCTGTTCTGGCATTTTAGGAAGACGACAGCAGCAGTGGCAGTAGTGTATTTTTCAGATATTTCCCATAAAGAGAGGGGGGGGGGAGAGAGAGAGAGAGAGAACAACTAGGAGAGGAGAGTCTAACCAAAAATTCATGTGCAACATCTGTGACAAACTTAGGGTGTCAAGATATCTCCCATGGACCCCAGAGTACAACCAGATGAGAGTGAACCGCTGCTGCCTCAAGACCTCCTACAGCGTATCAGCATCTGTTCAGAAGGGTGTATCAGGGAGGGGGATCTGAGAGCAGGAGAACCCCAAAATTGTTTACAGGTCTTTGCTGAAAAGCATGGTGGGCCATTTAAGAGCAGCGGCTGAAACTGGAAAGGTCCTCATACATGATTTCCAAGCCTCTCGCCATTCTGGATAATAAACACCTGGTAGGTGCTTACGTAGTGTTTGTTGAATGGTTGAAGGTCCGAATGACATTTCCCTGGACATCCCTTCTCATATATGAAGGTAGGGGCAGGAAAGGACCAACCTTTGTTCTGAGTCATGTGGCTGAAATTCCAAGGTACACAACATACTGGATTGAGGTTGGCAGGCCAGCGGGGAGGCTGAGGCAGTCCTCTCCCACGCTTGTGAAAATAATCACTCCCTTCCAACACACATACCCCTATGCATATGTGTGCCAGCACAACCACGTGCAAACACACACACATACACTCAGTTTGACCCGGGAAGAAGCCACCTGGGTGAGGAGCAAGGAGATGATCCCTAGTTATATCCAGCAGCGTCCGACACCAGCTGGCTCCAGACGTCCCAGAGTTTCTTTACTGAGGATATTGGGGAGCTGAGGGTTCTCAGCCGAGGGCAGCTGAAGGAGGTCCAGCTCGTGTCAAGTCTGTGTTTAGAAAGTAGGTGCAGAGCTGGCCTTTGCCTTTGACCTTGATGACACCCCGGCTGTAGCAGGTGTAGCCCAAGGACTGCAGGGCCCGAGCTGTCTCTTCCGTCACCTGTAATTGAAAGGGAGTAAGAGAGTATGAAAGCAGCCTTACCCCGCCCTCTCCCCTAATTCTCCTCACTTGGATCTTGCCAAGGACTCCTGTACTCTCCATGCGGCTGGCCACATTCACCGTGTTGCCCCAAATGTCGTATTGTGGCTTTTGAGCCCCAATCACTCCGGCCACAACTGGTCCGTGATTCAACCCTGACAAAGGGTGTAGTAAAGAGGGATCCTGATGAACAGAACTTTGAAGAGGAAGGGGGTAGAGGCAGCTTAAGGAACTGGGGAAAAGGAAAGGCCTTGGGGTGGGGTGGGGGGGCTTAGAGGAGAGAAGAGATCTTTGGAGCTGTTGGAGTGTGGCTAGGGGTGAGCCTCATAACTCCTGGTCAAGCAGGCTCATGCCCCATCCCAGGGACTGAGTCTGGAGAGGAGACCAGGGACGAGCTGGGTAACAACTAATGGACTTGGAGTAGGGAGAACCTGGGAAGGGGAGGAAGTGAAAAATCATCCCAACAAGGGAGAGCCCTCACCCACACGCAGACGGAAGTTGTTGAACGAGTGCTTGTTGATGACATCCAGCTTAGACCCCAGGGCCACCGCAAATTCCACCATGGTGCCAAGGTGGCTGCAGCTTCGCTCAGTATCCTGGCAACAAGCCCACCCACCAGGATGAGTCAGATGGCACAGGAACAAGTCCCACTCTGGGCCCACCAATAAGAGCCCAGAGGAGGGTTGCCAGGTAAGGAAGAGGGGCTTACCTGTTGTGCCTCCTGTCCAGAGGTGGCATTTAAGCCTGTGGCTGCCATGTAGGTGCTGCCAATGGTTTTGATCTTCTCCACTCCACTGAACTTGGGCTTGGAGAGCAGCTGTACAGGGAGGAGACAGCGCCATAGTCTCTCTTGTTCTCTCTCTGCCCTGTCCCAGAAGCCCAGCCCTAGGACTTTGGAAGCTAAAGGATCAGACTGTGGGGTTGGGGTGGTGGCAAGAGGGAGACAGTTGACAATGTTGCTGGGAAAGTTAGTTGTGAGAATCAGAGGAGGAGAGGGGACACTGGGAGGAGGGGACCAGCCTCCTAGCCAGGAAAGCACAGTGGTAGGAAGGACCTGTAGGGAATTCTTCAATCCCAGACATAGGACTGGGGAACCCTTGGAACTGTCACCTCATCAAAGTCAGCAATGATCTCATTAAGCAGCCGCAGACACTCTAGCCCCTCATGGTTGATGTTGGATTCAGAGTAAAACTCTTTGAAGTCCGGGACTGAGGCAAACAGGACACAAACACACTCGTAGGACTGATGGTAGAGGTCCTGGGAGGACAAGAGTCTGGCGTGAGGGGTGTATAAGGTCAGGCCCTTCCCCTTTCTGGGTCTGCTTGGGGTCCTCCACCCTATGCCCACACTCCCTGCCCCTTTAAGGATTGGAAGGCTGCCTCCGTGGCACAGCCATAATGTGCTGCTCAAGAGAAGGCGGATCCCACAGGACACCATGGTTTAAATCCCTGGCCTGCTCAGCTGACACGCACTGGGTTCATGTGACAGTGCCCGAGATAGAAGCGGCTGGAGGACTGGAGGAAGGGATCATGACCTGACCCTGTGGGTGCTGAGAGCTCGCTCTCTGTCTCACTGTCACATCCTCTACCATGAATAAAGAAAACAGTGAAAGAAAGAAGAGGAAGAAGAAGAGGAAGAGAAGAAGGAGAAGAAGAAAAGAAGGAGGAAGTGGAAGATTGGGAAACAGGAAGAGGCAGGACCAGGTTACCCTAGGGATGGGACTCAGGAGTGGAAGTCTGAGTCTCATCGTGATTCCTGAAGAGACAGATATTTGGGATCAAGATCACCGCACAGCAATTTGAGAGGGAACAGTCCCAGAGCTGGGATCATATCAATGAGAATTATTTTACTATCTTATGTTACTGCTGAACAGTGTTAAGGCAGCTTACAAAAACAGCTACAGTGTGGACGATGAAATGAAGCATCAACGGAGAACATGGAACAAAGGGTAAATGCAGGTAAGATGACAAAGGTGTAATCGGAGCTGAGGCTGGCTCACACGACCAGTGCCAGGAGGTCCTCGTTAGTCCTAGGTTCTGGTTCTGAGCTTTCCAGCAGACAAGAGAGAAACAGAAGCGAGAAACGGGAGCACTGTACGATTCCCTGTGTCTTTAAGAGAAGAAACAAGAATAAGTAGAACTACTCTGCTCTTGGGAGCAGAGAGCAGGCAGTGGGTATAAGGCTATGAAATAGCCCCAGAGCTGCTTTTTTTAAAAAAATAATGATTTATTTTATTTATTCATTCATTTTATTTTAATTTGACCAGAGAGAGAGACACATACAGAGAGAGACAGAGAGGGAAGTGAGAAAGCAAGTCACCAGGTCCGGGACTTGAACCATGGTTGGCTATGTGGGAGTGTCCAGCACCTTAACCACCACGCCTCCTGCTGGTCCCAAGCCAGAGCTGCTTGTTTTAGCATCCCTCAGTATAGACCAAGAGCACGCTCACAGCACAGAGGGGCGGATAGTGTGGTACATACAAGAGAATGCAGAGATGTGGGTGACTTTTTGATGGATTAGCAAGGTTTTTTTTTTTTTTGAGAGGGTTTTCGCTATAGGGTGCGTGCGCTCTCCAGACAGACAGAGAGAGACATAGAGACAGCAAGCGAGAAATCACCCCCCAGGGGGGATGGTCACGCCGCAATCCCTTCTCCTCCCTTCTCCTCTTGGGATCTTGGACATGCATGCACACGCGCCCAGCATGAGTTTTAAGACACCGGGTCCGGGACCCGGAACTATGTGGGAGTCCAGTGACATAGCCATTACGCTAACTGCTGGTTCCCTGGTTTAGCAAGATTTTTAAGGCTCTAGAACAGCAGCAGCCAACAGAAATTCCTGTGATGATGGAAATGTTCTGTCCACCCAATATGGTGGCCACATGTGAAATGTGTTTAGTGCAGCTGAGGAACTAAATCTTTTGTTATAAGTTTAGATGTCAATGGTCACATGCAGCTAATGGCTACCACATTGGATAGTGAAGGTCTAGATAGCACTGGTGATCATACCCTCCAGACGGTTCTCATCAATGCCTCACTCAGCTTCTGAGAGACAGGGAGTAGCGGTGAGCTGATGAGAATTTGAGATGCAGAGATTCTGTGCTCACTAAAGACAGAGCCTGAGATCTTTTGAGAGTGGAGGCAACTGACAGGGACAAGAGCTTGGGCAACCACGAAAGGAAGTGGGGCAATCCAGAGAGGATGGGCCACGGGCCAAGGTTTTCATCTGAAATTAGTTCCACTGGCGTCTGAAGAATCAAAGGTTGGGAGTCACCTCATTGCGCCGGTTCTGGCCAATGAACTGGGGGGCCACGTGGGCAGGGAGCACATTCTCCAAGAGTAGCCGGGTCAGGTTCTCCATCGTCTCTGTCTCCTCCCGCTCTTGCCTCAGCTTCTTTTTCCACAGGAAGTCCAAGCGGCAATAATACTCATTCTGGGGAGGGTCACAGGGAGCCGGGGGTAGACACAGTGCAGGGGAGGCCCCAGCTTCTGAGTGTTCATTGCCCCACCCCCCAGATTAGACCTAAGGATTAAGGTGTAACCACCCTTGGAGACACACGACCCTTGAAGCGAGGTTCAGACTAGGAGGTATGGAGTTGGCAGCAGAAAATTTCCTTAAACGTGAACTTTCCCTGATTGGGAGTAGGAGGAAGGAGGGGCAGGGGGATCTTGAGGGCACTTCCTTGGGGAGTGAAGGAAAAAGAAAGGGAACAGAAAGGCTCACTTGCTTAGATGCTTCCAATGGGTGACCCACTGGGGATCGACCCTGGAGATGAGAGATCAGTGCATAAATATGGGGACCAACCTCCCCCAGAGAGGCCTGGAGGGCTGACCTGGATGACTTACCTGCCGAGCTAGGACAAGGAGGGTGAAGAAGAAGATGAAGAAGGAGACAGCTCCCATCAGTTTTGGCTCCTTCAGTACTCCTGGCCTGAGGAGGCTGTGGGTCAGGGTTGCCACTCACCCTGGCCCACCTGATGGCCTCCTCCCTGCCCCCCAGTGTTCATGTAGCCCTCAGCTCCCTCCCGGGTTGACTGGTGGGTGGTTCAGTTCAGTGAGGTGAGGACAGTTCTGCTGTATGCCCTATCCCAGGGGACCAGGGCACCTCTGTCCAACAGCCAAGCTCACCTGGAGTCTAGGGGCCCCAGATAGAGGCGGGCGACGAGGCAGTCAGACAGCCAGGCATGGGAGTGCAGGAAGAGGGAACAGGACGTCACCAGCCATAGCAGGAGCAGCAGCAGCTTCAGTTCGAAGCTCATGTGCAGAAAGAGGGAGCAGGAGAGGAAGGCCAGCACGCAGCAGTGCATGGAGTACTGTGGGCCAGGTGAGGGGTCAGGGGTGGACATGGCCCACAGGCAGGGCTGGGAATACCGAGGGCTCCTGTTCTGCCCCTCCCACGGCCCAGGTCCTGTCTAGGGGGCGAGGGTCTCTCTCTCTCTCTCACACACACACACACACCAGGTGACTTACGTCTGTTCCAATTCTCAAGATGGACTAAGGGGGCAAGGCTGGGGTGCTGAGGAAGGGTCTGAAGGAGAGTCGGGGCTGTGCAGAAACACTCACTGGGACACTGATGAGAGGCAGGGACCCAGGGAGCTCCCAGGACAGGTTGAAAGCCATGGAGGACACATTGGGAGCCCAGAAAGGGCAGTCCGATGATGCTGGTAAGAAGAACTGCAGAGAGGAGGGGTGAGGGGTGAAAACCCTGGGGCCCAGCGGCGGCCTGTGCTGGGTTTCAGCCGACCCAGGGTCAGTCAGGGCCAGGCTCCTCCAAAGGGGTGGACTGTGCCATTTCTGTTTGCACTGGGGTCCTGGCTGAAGCCGGGCTCTGAGAGGGGTGTCATGGGTGCTAGTCTGTCATGGACCCACTGGGTGAGCTCTTCTTCCTCACCATTTAACCTCTCTTCCGTGGCTTCCTCTTCTGTAACTTGGCTGGGGGGTGATTCCTATGTGCCTTACAGGGATACAATTCTAGCAACAATTCTAAGCACTGGGAACCCAGACAAGTGAGCTGAATACTAAGGATCTGCCTACATAGAACAAATATAGGAAGGATGTCCACCGAAGTGTTATTTAACAATTATACCCAGAATGTGGATTGTGGGGGGCTGTAATCATCCTCTTTGTACTTGTACATTTCCCCACCCCTTGCCTTGGTCTCCCCAACCCAGTGGTCCCTTTTCAGTCCCTGGCAGGTCCCCATGCCCTAATGGGGCTCCCTCTGCCCTCACCAAGCTGGTAATGGCCATGGCAAAGACGAGGAGGATGGTAGCAGTACCCAGGGCCACTCGCAGTCCGGGCCTTGTGGCCACCAGGCTGGACAGTGTGGGAAGCCAGTGTAGTATCTTGGGGCCTTTCAGGACACACCTCTGTGGAGGGAGCGTGGGTGTCTTAGCCATAGGGCTGGGGTGCCCTCTTCAGGCCAGGGTTCTTTTTGCCACTTCCACTCCCCAGACCACCTCACCGTCAGGTGCTCTGAGAAGCACACGAAGAGCAGGAGGAGGAACAAGAGGAAGGTGACGCAATAGGTGATGGCCAGAGCTGGGGGCCTAAAGGGAGGCAAGAGCAGGCCATGAGTGCTAGAGTAGGCTTGCTGAGTGCTAGGAGGGTGCCACCTGGTTGGGTGGATCTGGACTGGCTGTTAATGGGGTGTGGGCTGATAAAAGACATGGCACTTCCATGATTTGGAAAAGCTAACGAGTCTAAGGCAGGGGCCAGCAGTTGGTGTAATGGCTATGTCACTGGACTCCCATGTAGTTGGCCACAGTTCAAGTCCCAGACCCGATGGCTTAAACTCATGCTGGGTGCGAGTGTGTGCATGCCCAAGATCCCGAGAGGAGAATGGAGGAGAAGGGATTATGGAGTGGCCATTCCCCCCTGTGTGTGGGGGGGTGATTTCTCGCTTTCTGTCTCTCTGTCTCTCTCTGTCTTTCTGGCAAGCGCATGAGCCCTATAACAAAAACCTCTCCAAAAAGAGTCTAAGGCAGTGCAGATGGAATAGGAACCAGTAGGGGGCGACAATAGTGAAAGGGGCAGGGGCTCACAGCAACGGCCAAGGCTGCATCAGAGGAGGCTGAAAGCCATGGAGGACACATTGGGAGCCCAGAAAGGGCAGTCCGATGATGCTGGTAAGAAGAACTGCAGAGAGGAGGGGTGAGGGGGAAGGAGCTCCTGGGGCACAGCGGCGGCCTGTGCTGGGTTTCAGCCGAACCCGGGTCAGTGTCAGTCAGGGCCAGGCACCAGTCAACCCGGGAGGGAGCTGAGGGCTACATGAACACTGGGGGGCAGGGAGGAGGCCATCAGGTGGGCCAGGGTGAGGGGCAACCCTGACCCACAGCCTCCTCCTCCACAGCCCTATAACAAAAACCTCTCCAAAAAGAGTCTAAGGCAGTGCAGATGGAATAGGAACCAATAGGGGGCGACAATAGTGGAAGGGGCAGGGGCTCACAGCAACGGCCAAGGCTGCATCAGACCAATCTCTGGGCCTCCAAGCCTAAGCTCTTGAATCTGGCTGAGCTTTGAACACGTCCTTGCCCTTCCCAGCAGGGGACTAGCAGTGAGGGCCTGCTTTCTAAGCTCACTCATTGTTCTGTGACATCTGAATGGGAACAAAATTTCCTTCACGGGGATGTTGTCAGCAGCAAAAGACATGAGGTGTGGAGAGCTCGAGCCTTTAGACCCGCAGCGTGTGCAGTAGTAAGGGCAGAGCTGTGATTACCACCGGCTCCCCAGAGCAGCGTTTCCCCTGTGGGCAAGAGGCTGACGCTGAGGGGAAGGGGATAAAGGAAGGAAACACGGGCCAGGCAGCAGGGCTCAGCGTATGGGAGCCAGGCCTCCCTCTCTCACCTGTTTGTCACCAGCATCTGGACAATGAAGTTGGAGAGAAAAACCAGGAAAGTGCAGGCTGCATAGTATTTGAAGGCAGGAAGTGCCGAAAGTCGATACTGGAAAGGATGGGGTGGGGGCATAGTCTCAGGCAAGGTGTGGCTTCCCCAGGTTCACCACCCTAGCCTCCAGGTCAGGACATGTAGCCCCTAATAGTTCTCCGAGGTACTGTCCTCCTCCCTCTCACCACCACCGGATCCTCAACCTGCAGGGTACCCTATCTTTGCTCACAGATTAGGAAGGGGAGGTGGGGACATAAGGCCTGGCCCCTCCCCAGGGTCAAGGAACTGAAGGTGGGAGACCCTTTGGTGCCCACCCCCCAGAAGCCCACCTCTTTCTCCATCTCCTTCTTTCGGAAGTACAGTGTCACTGGGTTGAAATCCTTGGACTGCTTCCACTGTCTGTTGGGAGGTGGGGGCCATTCCAGAGAGGAACCCACAGGGCAAGGCAGGGCAGGGAGAGGGCAGGAGGGGATGATGGAGTGAGTCTCCCTCCAGGCCAGCCCCTTGCTTCCTCCAGGCCCTCCTCCACATCAGGGCCTCTGGCCCTCCCATCCCTCTTTGCTTTCCGTACTTCTGAGAGTTGAGCTGTTCGATGACCTGGAAGAACTTGGCATCCCCAGTGTCCAGCTCATCATCCAGTCCCCTGGGAGTTCGGCTCCTGCACAGTGAGCGCCAAGCCTGTCACCACAGAGACTCTCGAGAGCACCTGAGCAATGCAGGAGCAGCCCCCCAGGAGGGTGGAGGTAGGCCAGCCAGACAGCCCCACTATCGGAGATGCTCAAGCCTCCTCACCGGTCCAGGCTCCACTGGGGACTGAAGGAAGCCAGGGCCTTCTCCTGTTGGGAGAACACATGGGGAAGGTGAGTGTTGACAGTGAGGCAGACCATGGACAGCATTGCACGTCCTTGACCTTGAGCATTTGACCTGGCTGTTTCCCCTTCCTCTAGTGACCAACTTCCTCTGTCTCCTCTCTTCTCTCTCTCCCTAATCACACTTGCCCTAGAAAGGGAGAGTCAAACTCCCTTTCCTCCTTAAAGTTTCCTCTTGACTCTTTAAACCCCCAGGATCTTTTCTCTCTCTCTCTCTCTCTCTCTCTTTTTAATTTAAATTTTCTATGGGGTGTGTACAGTTGCCAGGGAGAGAGAAGAAGAGAGAGGGAAAGTGAGAAAGCACTTCCTGGGGGGAGGGCCATGCCGTAGCCTCTTTTCCTTCATTCTCCTCTTGGAATTTTGGGCACACACACACGTGCTTGGCATGTTTTTCAAGCCACTGGGTCCAGGACTCGAACTGCATAGTCAGTCACATGGGATCCAGTACCTTAATCACCATACCACCTGCTGGCTTACCCCCAGGATCTTTTTTTTTTTAAAAAGAATTATTAATTTAATTTAATTTATTCATTCGTTTATTTTAATTTGACCAGACACACACACACACACACACACACACACACACACCCCCGGAGGGGGTGACTGAGAAAGCAAGCCATCAGGTCCAGGACTAGAACCATGGTCGGTCATGTGGGAGTGTCCAGGACCTTACCACCACACCACCTGCTGGTCCCCAACCCCCAGGATCTTTATGCCCTTTATTTTCTCAGAGTTTCCATCACGCAATGAGAAACCATTTTATCTTCTATAGGCTTCGATTCTCTGTGATTCACCTTTCCCAAAGATTGCATAAATTCCAAAGGCAGGGATCTTCCCATCACCGAAAAAATCCTTGCTGGTTTACATGGACGTGACAACGCAGAACATTCTGACTCCCCTCTGATTATTCGTGAGATCAGCTAGGCTGAGCTAAGAGATGGTAGGGGAGAATAACAGAGAATGGAGAAAAGCGGGTGGAGATGGGGAAGTAAACCTGTTGACAATCATTCTCTTCTTCACCAAATGAATGTATGTAGAGATATGAAAACGAACAAGTAAACAAAACAGCTGCCAAGGGGGAAAACGAAGGTGGGCCACTGTCCAGTTTAAGAGTGTGGTGGCACCTTCCTCCTTCCTCCCTTTGGCCTCCGTGAAGAAAGCAGGGTCATAAGGTTCCATCATGTCCCAGACCAAAGCCTGGCGTGCAGGCAACAGAGGACATCGCGAGAGGGGTGGCGTGTTCTGGCTATGGGCCCATCTATGCATCCACGCCTGGGCCTAATGTTTTTCCAACTATCTTCTCCCCCCCGCCCCTGTCTCTTTGTTATCTGAAGACAAGAAAAACCTTTTATTCATTCCTGTCCTGTCAAACCCTAGCCTTGTGGCTGCCACAGAGTATGTGCTCCAGAAACGCAGAAGGGATGAATGGATGGATGGTACATAGCAGCACGAGCCTGGCCCCGCCACTCCTAAGTTCCACGTCGTTTTCTGAGCAAGCTTACTGCAAGTCTCAGGATTTCTGAGAACTTCTCAGGGTCTCATCTGACTGAGCCTCTGGAATTTCAGCAGCTGAGAAGTAAATTTCTGGGCTAGTGAGGTCCTGCATCAGGAAATAGTCCTGAACAAGGGGTTTCTGCCCCTCCACTCTGACACTCCCATGTCAGTGGAGAGAGGCAGGAGGGCTGGCATGGGCCCTGACAGGCATTCCAGCCACGGGGAGTGTACCCATGGTCATCTTACAGGTCCTGGGCCCAGGGCAAAACTCCGTGCACCATTGCATTCCCACCCTGGAGGATTTGTCCTGTGAGTCAGCGGGGCCTTGGATTTTTCCTTCCTCTCCCTCCTGCCAGCTTAATCCCCTGGCATCTCCTCTACTCCATGTTGAGGCATGGAATTAAATACTCCCCTGAACCACTGCTACCAATGTCCTTCCACTCCCCAGTGCTCATAAATTTCTGCCTTTCTTTTCTGCTAGGTGGGTCTTTGTGGTTACAGTGCTGGACTCCCACGTGGCTGACCGTAGTTCAAATCCCAGATCTTGCAGGTTGAAACTCATGCCAGATGCATGTGCGTGCATGCCCAAAATCTCAAAAGAAGAATGGAGAAGGGATTGTAATGTGACCGTCCCTCCTGGGGGGGAGGGGGTTATTTCTCCCTCTCTCTCTCCCTGTCTCTCTGATGAGTGCATGTGCCCCATGGCTATGTGGGAAAAGAGGGAAGTCAAAACACTAAAGTGAGCTCTAGAGTCATCCCATCAATCCAGCTAGGTCTGGCCAGAAGGGAAGATTCTGGGGAGAGTGGCAGAAAGGTGAATGACAATGCAAATGGGTTTGGGGGAGTCTGGGTAAGATGAGGGAGAATAGGTCAAGAGGCCAGGGACCTAATCCTGTTGTAAGCCTTTAGGGACATGACCTGGGTCCCAGCATGAGGGGATTCTGGTAGCTCATCATCAATCACCAACCTCAAAAGCCAGTCAGTGGGTCACTGGTTACCTTAAGGTATTATACATAGCCAGTAACCAGCCCTGCGCCAACTCACCTAGACAAGGGGTGGCCCGCTCCCACCCTTCCCCAACCTGCTCACAGTGACATCCTTCTTTAATACCATGGGTGACTTTCAGCGTCACCTCATTTTACCCATGTGCAAGTGTCCAGAAGCAGAGGCAACAACTAATTTGCCCCCACCTTCCCAGTTCCAGTGGGGATTACAGAAGGGCACTTGCAGTTACAGAGACTGAGTTAAGCAGAGACATGTCCTGGTGGGTTGGGTGTGCAGCACTGGAATCAGAGTCAGGAAGAAGTAGGTGTGCTGCTTTTGTGGTGTCAGGGGAAAGGACTCTGCAGAGTGGCCATCAGGGAGCAAGGGACATGGTGTCTACGGGAATCTTGCATCTTCTCTGAGATGAGCTCAACGGCCAGTGATCTTTGCTTTTTCTCTGGAAGGAAGGGGCAAGAAAGGGCCTGAACCAGTGACTGGGACAACCAGACAGTTCGAGACCTTTGGATGTTGTAAATCATCGAGTGACGCCATGGGTGAGGTTGAGAGTGGGACGTGAGGACTATGGGAGGGGTTTACCAAGGGCTGGCGATCATAATGGCGGTGCACATACCGGAAGAGGGGTAGAGGTGGACACAGGGCTGTCTACGTGGCTCAGGTGGGCAAAAGGCTTGGCTGCACCCCAGGACTCCAGGTAGCGGGTCATCAGCAGTGATGGACGCATCTTGGGGCCCTCAAGAGAGGACAGCAATCCCCCTGCGGTGCCCTTCTCATCCTCCTCCTCAGCCTGGGACATAGAAGAGCTGAGAGTAAAGATCACCAGACGCTTCGTCTCGCCCCACATCCCCGAAAAGCTTGTGTCCACCTCTCCCTCAAAGTGCACACACTAGGACCCGATCTCTGGCACAGAAGATGAGCTCAGGCCTATTGACTGTGGGTGCTTTGTGTGGACTAGCCCACTGGGTCCAGGCTGGGCTTTTACCCGGGGATCGATGACCAGATAGGTAGGTTCCCCTAGCTCCCGAAGGTAGGGGTCCCGGTGTTCCATGGCGGTATCCTCCACAGCATACGCCCCTGCTAGGAGGGCCAGGGTAGCCCTTGTGATGTGCACTCGCCTGGAAGGAGGGGGCAGTAGGAGTCAGCAGGGAGGGCCTCCAAGCCTTTCATTGCTTTCACAGATCTGGCTTTCCTGGAGATCTGGCTTTAAGACAGGCCCCGTGTTACAGCAGTTGGATCCCAGCTTCCCACCCCAAACCCCTGAATCTTCAGGAGCTCCACATGGGATTGTGTCACAAGAGTGGCATCACGTGAGAGGCTTGGTTGGCCTCCTGTTGTAGCAGCCTGGGGTCTTAGGGCTCACCCTGGCACGCCACCCGCCTCCATGTGGTTGGCCAGTGTGACGTCGTGGGACCACACATCGTACTGCCACTTCTGCAGCCCGATGACTCCGCAGAGCACGCTGCCTGAGTGCACCCCCACACGCATGTTGATGTCCACACCAGTGGCTGCCCGCAGTTTCCTGAGCAGAGTGTGTGGGGAACAACCAGTCCCGCCTTCAGCCCTTCTCACGTCACACCCTTCCTTCTCTTCCACCACTCTGCCCGCCCCTCCCACCTCCAGTCCTCGGATTCCTGTCCACTGCCACTTGAGCTGACCTGATGGCTCGGCACATGTCCAGCCCCATGCGTACACAGTTAATGGCGTGGTCTGGTAGTGACAGGGGCAGCCCAGAGACACAGTAGTAACAGTCCCCCAGGATCTTGATCCGCATGCATTCGTGCTCCTGAAAGTTTGGGTGTGGGTGTGTAGAGGAACCTGGTTAGAGGCCAGAGGGGTAGGAGGGAATTGGGAAAAGTGGGGAGCAATTATGGTATTCCTGAAGGATTTCTGAGGTTAGGAGTGTCTGCCTCAGCTCCAGGAACTCCTAACTTCATTGGGGCTGACTGAGTCTTCCTGCAGCTCTCTTTCTCAGAAGGGTTTCCCTAGGGCTGGGGTGTCTGTGGCTCTCCCCAGTTTGGGTATGGGTAGAGTATAGCCAGGTTTGGGCATATGGGAGGAGTCTCTGGGCTGCAGGGTTTGAGGAGGAGCCCATACAGTGATTGCTTGGTGATATCCCCAGGGTCTGAGCAGGTGGCTGGGCTGAGGTTGCATAGGACAGAAATTTCTCTTGGAAAGACCTCCCAGAATTAGAGCATCTGAAACTCTCTTTAGATTTGGTTATAGTGTTCACAGACACCTAAGTTAGGGCTCTGAGCATATTTGGGGCATTGTAGTTGGGACATCAACCATAGAGAGGTTGAGAAGTCTCTCCAAGTTTGAGGTGAATGGTCAATAGCTTCATGACTGGGAATATTTGAGAGGATTTCTTACTTCCATTGGAGCATCTGGGAGCCTGTATGGGCTCTGACGTGGACCTAATATCTTAAAGGCAGGACTTCCCAGGATGGGATGTTTGAGGGTCCCTGGATGGGGAAGGAGGCCCCCTCTGACCTTGGCGATCTGGTCGAACTTGCCAAAAAGCTCATTGAGCATGAGCACCAGCTCCTTAGGGGAGCACTCGCTGGCCAGCCGGGTGAAGCCCACGATGTCAGCATACAGCACACTGCACAGGACGGACTGTGTTAGTGGGGCCAGGGTCTCCGCCCACCAGCACCTCAGCTCAGCTCCAGCCATCCTCCCTCATCTGTACCTGACTCCCTGGTGCCTCTTGACATAGAGGCTGTGGAAGTTGTTGGTGCTCTCTGGCCGGGACCCTTGTCCAGCCTGCAGCCGAGCCATGATCTCTGCCTTCATCTCTTGGGCCAGGTAGGCAGGAAGGATGGACAAGAGAAGGTGTTCCTGGAGGAGGTCACTATGAGCACCAACCCTCCTGCACCCTGAAGCCAGGAGTCCCAGGCCCCCAAACCCCCCAGGAGCCCACATACTACCCCAGCCCCAGCAGGTACTGGCCAGGATGCATCCCAGGTCCCCCAGCTACATACAGCAGGGTTCCAGCACCCAGTTCTGCACTAATCGTCTTTAGAGACTGAACTCCCAGCACCGGCACCTGAATTAGTTCTTCTTTTAGTATAATTATGTTCTGTCCCGCTTCACTAAGTCCTAGTTTGTTTGAGCCTGACAATAACCTCCCAAGGTGGACAACGGTCACATTTCATACGGTGGAGGAAATGGGGAGAAAGACACGAAGTGGAGGAGCTGGGTCGGCTAATCTAAATAATCCCTTCCTGGCCAGGGCTCCATCCTGCCGCTCCCCCTGCTCCGCTTCACCCTGCCCCCTAGGCCCAGCCCTGTCTCACCTCCTAATCTAGACTGACCTGGTGCCTCTTCTCAGTGTCCAGCCGCCTTCGCGAGTGCAGAGAGCTGAGTGCCTCCCTGAACGTGGCCCGCAGCGCTCGCTCCATTAACGCCTTGTGGTATGCTCCCGCCACGTTCCCGCACAGGAACAACACCGCGTTTGCTGCGAGCTGTGGGTGAGGGCCAGTTTTAGAGACCCCTGGACCCGGGTGGGGGGAGGGTGTGACAATGTGTGTAGCTACGTTGGCCTTGAAGACAGGGCAGGGGAGGAGCAAGCTCTACAGCAGGCTGGAAGTGTCTGTCGTAGCAAGTGGGGCCACACTGTGCAGTCACTAGGGGCCTTTCCCCTCTCCCATGCTCTCTGCTCCACACTCGAGGGTGGGGTGCTGCGCAAGCATGGCCTCTTAGATATAGAGCAGACACCTGGGCGTGTTTCCTCTGCTGAGAACACAACTCCCCCATCCCCCACCCTTCCCCCTCCCCCCAATATTATTCGAGCTATGATTTTACATTCTGTGGGAAGATACCATCATTCATATTTGTAGCTACCTCAGTCCTGGGAGAACCGAGACTTCCCTCCCTGCGGTCTAAGCCTTCTCTTACCAGCAGGTATTGCGTGGCTCTGGAGGGCATGGCTGGGCTTACTCTGTATCCTGCTCCCAGCCTTGCGGCCCTGCCTTGGAGTCGCAGTGGAGTATATGTGCAGAGGAATCACTACCGCGGTGCCAAGCGGCTCTGGGCACAGCTTGTGCTACTGGTGTGCTCACCTGTGGCAGCAGCGCTGGCCTTGAGTCTGGCTGCGGCCCAAGGTACAGCCCGAGGGCCAGCAGGTGCGACAGGGAGGAGGCGAGGCCTGCAGCGGTGGCTTCCCGCATGCCCAAGGGCAACATGGCATACACAGTGAAGATGATGAAGAGGAAAAAAGACACCTAGGGCGGGGTGTGGGAAGCTGAAGGCCTCCATTGCACTTCTCATAGCCTGGATGCCAGGTGGAGGCTGAGGTGTCCCCATCCCAGCACCTACAGCCCCTCTCACCTGGTCCCAGGCGCTGACAACACCCCCGGTGAACAGAAAGCCATGGCCTAATGCGAGCAGCGCGGCCCACACGAGTCCCGAGAGTGGCCGTGTCCAGCGCTGCAGTCGCTGCTCGCGGGAAGCGAGGACCAATAGCAGTGAGAAGCCGCCCAGTGCACACACGACGGTGGCCAGGAAGCCCGAGTCTGAGGTCAGCTCCTGCCAGGAAGAGGTGCCGGAGTGAATATTGGGATGGGGAGCTTGAGGAGCTTACCCAAAGCAAGAACAAACTATTTTCTTGGTAAGAATGATTTATTTAATTCCATTTGTTATTATTATTATTTTTTTAATTTGACGAGTGAGAAAGGGAAAGTGAGAAACCAAGCCACCAGGTCAGGGACTTGAACCATGGTTGGCCATGTAGGAGTCCAGAGCCTTTAACCTCCACACCACCTGCTGGCCCAACAAGGGCAAACTATTGATAGAGGAGAAGTTGGCAATCTCTCGGGCCAATTTTGAAAGCTGTCTCAAACTCAGATAATAAAAGGAGGTAGGGCACCTTTGCTCGCCATTTCTCTTAGGTAGAACTCTATAAAGTAGCCAGTATTCTGTTTTTTGACAGAGCCGGCAATTTCATTTGGTCCAACCCAATATTTCACCGATGGTGAGTCAGCACTGAGCCTGAGACATCTACCTAGAAAGATGCCGCTTGGACCTCGTACTTGTCATTTGTTTTAAGCCGCCGGGTCTGGGACTCGAACGGTGGTGGACTATGTGGGAGTCCAGCGACATAACTGTTACGACTGTTACGCCATCTGTAGGTCCCATACTGGTCATTTGTGAACCCGCAATTTTCTTAGCCTCAGGTTTTCTTACCTGTCAAACAGGAATCAGAGCACCTGGCTGGGGTCGCAATGCAAATGAAGATCCTAGCTCACAGAGAGGGCATTTAGGAATGTATGTACAAGTCCCGCCAATTTGCTGGGGGGACCCCCGCCTCCCCCCGCTGCCTCCCTAGGGTCCGGCGATTGGAACCTTTCGGGGCGTGCGACGCGGCGCTCTGGCAGCAGGGGGCGCCCGGACCTTTCTCGCTCCTCGCACCTTTCTACTAACCGTAAGGGACTGCGAACTGGCCACCTGCTTAGGAGTCCCATCGCTGTCCCTGTCCTTTGTCCCCCACCTCTTCCCGGACTCCAGGGTGGACTACAGAGGACTGGCCACACCCAGTGATTTTCTTACCTTGCCTCCAAGGAATGAAAAGAAAACCCGGAGCAGGATATTTCCAGAAATGGAAGTGAAGACCCCCCCCTCCATTACAGAAACTGGAAAAGGATTTATTTGGGGACGAAATGAGGATGGGAGAGGGGTCGTCTTCTGGGAGTCGGTGGATACAATTACCCCCATCCCCTCAGAGGGAGAGTAAATCAGGAAATGAATTCCCCCAGGGCTAGAGCAGAATTTCCCCTCTGGAAAGTTGGAAAATCCGGTGTTGGATTTTTTCTAGAACCGGTAGGCCACAGAAACTCAAATGATCTGTGAGAATCCGGGGGAAATTCGGAAGGATCCGGGACTCAGCCCCCTCTCCCTGCAGACTCTGGGGGTGTAGCGGCACGCCCTGGGTCACTGCAGCTCTTAACGAGGTTCGCCGCTTCTTTCTCGACTCCGGGCAAAGAAAACACAACGAAAAAGAGACCCCACAAGTCCCAACCCCGAAAGTGTCCCTAGCTGGTGACACCCCCCCCCCCCCGACCCCGACATGTGACCGGCCTC